CCGTAAAGAGCCGCCATTGTACAGTCCTCCTCCTATGCAGCATCAGGAAAGGGACGAGCAGCTCCATAGTTTCTGGTGTTCGCAGATGGAATCCGTCAGGGATTTCAAAAGCCATCAGCTTCCTTTGACTCGGATTAAGAAGATCATGAAATCTGATCGCGATGTTCACATGATCTCTGCCGAGGCTCCTATCGTCCTCGCTAAGGCTTGCGAGATGTTCATCTTCGATCTCACCAGGCGTTCATGGGTCCATGCCGAGGAGAGCAAACGCCGCACGCTCCAGAAATCCGATATCTCCGCCGCTGCTTCTCGTACCTTTGCTTTCGACTTCCTTCTCGACGTTGTTCCCAGAGACGAATCTGCACTCGCCGCCGCCGCTGATACCAGTTTCATGCCCATGCCTCATCCTGACGCTGGAGTCACGCCGTACTATTATCCGCCGGGAATGGTCACTGGGATTCCGGTTGCTGTCGGGGGTGGAATGTACGCGGCTCCGCCACAGGACGGAGAGGAGGAGGCTGGGCAAAGTGGAGGAAATTCAAGTGTGGATTTGGGGGTTTGATTAGGGTTTGTAACCAGAATTTGAACCTTTCTTTTATGGAATTTCTGTTTTTGAGATTAGGGTTTTCTTGAATGTGGTGAATAGGGATGGTTTTATTTTATCTATTGGTATTCATAGATGTTGCATTCCTGCCTGAAAATAACAACTACAATAGGAGAAATACCATAGAAGCATAATCTTCAGTTAAGCCTGACCGGAGAGAAGATTCATATTTGTTTCTCTTTCCATCGCAAATAGCATAATCTTCAGTTAAATAGGATCCTATCAAGTTTGAATACTACTAACTATGTTCAAAACAATTTAGAAAACTGTCGAAGCATATCCATAGCTCAATATAATCGGATCAGCAATGAGCTTTTTTTTTTTATACATGTAAAATAGTATACAAGTAGACAATGCATAAAAACAGTAAAACATTATGAAAGGAATTTGCATAAACGACGAGTGAATAATCAAGGAATGACAACTGAAGTCTTTATGTAATCTATAAGATATCCAACCGTTTTCCGAAGGCTACTTACGTAGGAATTCGAATTATTCCTTATGTATATAGTGCTTCCTCGAAATCGAGCAATTCTGAATACCGAATAAAGAGAACAAATTTTAAGGTCTTTCTCTCCTCCCCGGCCCAGTTCGCCTCTACTCATCCAACCTTCACACTTACGGTTGTCAAAATACCACCTCCAAAATTAGATCTACATACTCCATCGTGTTTTTCGTAGTAATTGGAGTCCAAGTATTGGATATAATTTGGATTGCAAAATCGTTAAGGATGTTTGGGATTTTCATATCATTGATTCATTATATATTTGCATTTTATAGTTTCTCTTTGAAGATGTGTGGGATTTATTTATCTTTATAAATTAGTTATTTTAAAAGAAATTAATCTCTTTTCTTATTCTTTGGTATATGTTTTTATGATCATCATGTGTGATCATGTTGTCCAAGTTCTACAAATTTTGTTTTTCAGTTTACATAGCTTGTAATTTGGCTCAAAAGCATAGATATAGTGTCTCGAGTTTGAATCCACGAAAGGAAAATTAGAAGATACATGTAAAGGTTTTACGAAAGCTCAAACATACTGTAGTTCAATTGCAACGGTTCAAAAACATTTTTCTCATATTACCTTGTTTAATCTTTGAAAGATTTCTTCTTATTAGAAAATCTTCTCTCTTTAATTGGTTTTCTTATCGATTCATAAATAATCTACTCTTTGTTTATTTTCAGGTCATCTTATAAAAAAAAACTGACTTTATATGTTCAATATACATAGAAATAAGATTTTGAGTGTCGCCGTAAAACTATGCATTTTTCTGTTTAGTAATTTTTGTATTTTTGTTGAATTAAAATGTCAACGACGGATAACAACATTTAAAATTTATTAATTAGTGAAACAATGTTTAAATATATTAAAAAATTAGATATGGCGAGCATGAAAAATTTGTAACTCCATTAATGATAATAGTTATCTATATTTTATAAACATTTGTTAAAAAAAAAATTGGTTTCGACATTTATATAAATTATGTTAACTATAGTAATTATGAACGTGTACGTTATTTCTTCTTCTTCTCTTACGGTTTTTTTTTTCATTGGCTTCGTTTTCTTTATCTTATTTTACTTTTTATTTTTCTTTTACTTCTCTCTTATGTTTTATTTTTGTTTTTTTTTCTCGTATTTGTGCTCTTCTTCGGTTTCTTCTTTGTTTTCTTTTCATTTTTGTTCTTCTACTTTTTTGTTTTTGTTTTTAAGGATTGTTAATTGCGGTCAAATTGTTTAGATTTGTTTCTTTGTGAATTCTTCGTTCTTCACCAATTTCTTTTTTTTCCTTCGATTTTGTTTCCTTCTTCTATTCTTCTTCTTTTTTTCCCTACTCTTCTTCGTCTTTTTTACTGATATTTATTCATTTTCTTCTTCCTATTTTTCCTCTTCTTTTTCGATTTCTTTTATTCCTCTTTGTTCCTTCTTCTTCTTCACCCTTTTTTCTTCTTTGTCTAGTCCAACTTCCTTTAGTTTTTATTTATTTTTTCATCGTAAGCTTCTCCTATTTTTGTGCTCTTCTTCAGTTTTTTTTTTATTGTTCTTTTAACATTGTTACTTGCGGCATAAGAAAATTATTTATTTTATTTTTATCTTTTTCTTTCGGTCTTATATTTGTATTTGTTTTCTGCCCCTCCTTCTTCTTCTCTTATTTTTTTACATATTTTATTTTTTATTTTTTACCATTTTCGTCTTCTCCAATATTTTTTTCCTCCTTTCGTCTTCTTCTTCTGACTTCGCTTTTTTCTTCTTTTTCTTATGGGTTTACTTTCACCTTCTTCAAGTTTCTTATTTAATTCTTCATTTAGACCAATGACTATGATAAGCATGCTTTGCTTCATTTGCCTTATGTTTCAGATGACAGCAGTCCATGCATAGTTATGACCATGTACAAAATGTAAATCAGTAGCACATGACCAATCAAAAATTAAAAACATAAAGCATTTACTTTTTAACATTCTGAGACATAGAAAATTCTCATTATGAAAATTACACATCTGCATTTATGTTATTTTAACTCCTTCTAGAAACTTGAAGATATTTGGATATAAATATGTCAGTTGTTTATCTTCAGTCTATCAATTTTGTTGCTCAAAGAAGAAAATTTCTATGTATCTTCAACAACAAATTCCTTATTAATTGGACTTTCTTATTCAATTGCTATCGAGCAGCCTTTGGTTCCTTTTTGATCATTGCAATAGTTTCTTTCAATTGTGAGTATGTGGTATTCAAAGCCTCTGGAAACTTTGCAACTTCTTACACCCTTTCCTACTCGAGACCAGTCTGTTTGTTGGTAAATGATAACAAAATAATCCAAATTTAGCAACTAACTTTGTCGGCCACAATATGCAAATTAGTTCAAACATAAAATATTTCCAAAAGAGAAATTGACATTTGAGTTACCCTTAATTGTCTCTTCAATTGCAAACGCTAGGTAAGCTCTTCCGTCTGCTTCTCCAATTTATTCTTAACATCTTTAAGAACACCGGTTTCTCTTGCATCTTAACTCAATATAAATATGGAAGTAAATTGCTGAAAGAGGAAATTTATGCACATTGTGTTTGTAACCAATCAAAAGTTATAAAACAAAGAATCGAACCATGTTAAACATTCCAATATCTCTTCTAGCAAGTCAGCACCTCCAGTCATATTGAGTGGCTATTGGCACCTTGTGAAGTTTTCTTTAATATGAATATACTTGATGACCATGCCAATGAACCTGAAAACAAATGAATAAAAGAAAATGTATACATCAAAGAGAACAATCACCCAAAGTTTGCCTATATTTGTCTTATGGATAAGATTATATAGTTTCCTCTCACCAATATGGAATATGTAACATGAAATAGTAAAACAACACAAGGAGTAGCTTGCATTCATCCAACTGAGAGGCTCTATGAATATATAAGTACATTGATGCTCCTCATGACCAGTAACCTTATTGTGAACACTTTCGTTCATGTTTGTGAACATGATATCAAACTCTATACAACCTTACCTAGAGTATGATGCAACACTTTCTTCTCATGAAATGCATTGTACACATTACCAGTATATTGCTATAAAAATAACTTGAAATAGCAAAACAACATTATGATCCCATGTTGTCATATTTATGATTAAAATCAACCACATATAAAAGAAATCAATAACAATTATTCATGTGAAAGGGGCAAAACCTAGAGCCTTTAGACTAAAGCTAGCGTTTGTAAATAAGGCTTATATGGTCGACCTTGAAGTTAATTAGTCTTCATTTTTTTTT